ACTTACCAAATCTGTAGAGACAGGACAATCACCAGCAACTAGAGCCGCGTCTTTATTAAGAGAATACTACAAGCGAATCCGGATCTCAGCGTTTGCAGATGAGAACAGGTCTCAGGTAAACAATAATCCTCCTTAGACTCGTAAGTTATTGTTGTCGAGCGTCGCGTACACTGTTAATCCACACGTGACTCTGAGCTCTCACAGAGAGAAAATGAAAACGAAACTTAACGGCAGCAAACTATAAAAGCAACACTTCACGCTTGTTTTGCCAATACAATGTGGCGTCTCTGCCGTCTAAACACTGTGACTAATGAATATTAATGAAGTTGCACAATAGAGCGCGCTGATTGGTTTGAACCAAGCCTTACTAATGCATTAATGCATCACACTGTAAGACGTAATAGGACACACTCTGGCACAGACGCCCAGTCTGCACGCTGGAATACAACGCTATTATGTCATGACCGTGACGCAGCTTCAAAAATTCGTTTCAAACCGGAAGTACTAATTTGCTTGAAATAACGCAAAAACAACCAATTTACACTTTTTAGTGAAATATAGGTGTCTTAATAGTGTTTTTAGCAGTGTGGGACACATATACGACTGTCAACAGCTCAAAAAATGTGTTTTGGTGTTTCGTGACCCTTTAAAACCATTGTCATTTTGGTGATAGTCGCTTTAAATTTAGATTGTGCTCCTTTCAAAAGAGGGCGGAGCTGCAAATGCCTGTGTCTGCATAGTGGCAAATTCAAAAAAAGACTAACGTCATATGCTAATAAAGGAGAGATCTTCACTAATGGGCAGGCTTTTCCCCATTTGATGACACCTAAAGGGAGAATGTCAATCAAAGTGTTTCTAAGAAAGAAAAAAAAAACAGAGTAGTCCTTGCAATAACGCGGTTCACCTTTCGCAATTTCACAGTTTCAGTTTTTTTTAAGTTAAATTCGACATGCGTTTTTTTTTTTTTTTTTTTTTTACAGCACATTGTGTTCTGTGACCTTATCAGTGCATTGTGTTTTGCATTCTGATTGGCTGTAGACCATTGTCAATCAGTCTACACTGTAATAAAATGCTGGTTTCCACACAATACTTGTTGTCCCAACTCAAATCGATTAAGTTAACTTATTCATTTTTTACAAATTTAAGTGGATTGAACATAAAACAATTAAGTTGTCCTAAAAAAACTGTACAATTGTGTTGTTTCAACTCCTTTTAGATCAGTAGTTTGAAGAAGCAGCAAAAGTCTTTTTTTTGAGTGTACGCCTTGCCTGGTCTCCTGTACCGTGCAGAATGCGTTTAGCTTGCCAAATTCACATAAAAGTCAGACTTGTGGACATGCTAAAGAAAGATAGAAGTTACTTTGCTTCAGGGCACGATTATGTAATAAAAAAATTTTGGTTCGTTACATAAAGGAGGAGGAAAATAACGTAAGTGTTGAAAAAAACTAAAGTGTGAAAATGTTAATGCCTGTGTGAGAAAAGTGTATTGTGGGGGTTTTTACAGCCTTAAAACATCTAAAATAATTGAAAAAAATAAAGCTGACTACTTTGAGGATTTCACCTGTTGTGGGTTATTTTGAGAGCGTAACTCCCATGATTAAGGCCCCGTTTACACTAGTGCGTTTTAGTTTTAAAACGGCGTTGTAGAATGAAAACGATCCGCGTCCACACTCGCGTTTTGCCCAGCGTTTCTGAACAGCTCTCCGTCCACACCAAAACGCTGAAAACGCACATCACGTGACCACACACACACACTCGGGCAAGCGCTCCAGCATTTCTACCCAGATGAGAGCTCTGCTTGTCGGACTGCTCATCACGCATCTCCCGCTGGATCTAATCTCACTATATTTGCTAAACGTGATATTTCATTCATGTTGTTGTCTTTATCTAACGACATATTCCCTGACTTTGGTCATTGGAATCTATTAAGTTACTTGTTCACGGGTAACATGTTTTGGTTAAGCGCAAAGATAAGTTAATGATTAATCCAGGTACATTGACTGATCGCTCGTCTTTATTTCCTACAATGTATAAACTTATTGTATGCTATACTTTTATAATTATCGATTATTAAAACTGATATTCAGCAAAAGAGAGGGTGCGTTTCGTATTTTCACTGAAAGGAGGCATCTGTTATCGGCTCCGTTTTGTTATAAATATGCACACAGTGAAGATGACGCTCATATTTGCAGCACGGCGCCTCAACATTTCTGCTGTCTGTTAAGTTGTTAATATTAAAAAGAAAATAGGCAGTTCCTTATATCATGTTTACATTTTATTGTTGAGAAAGTGAAACAACGTAGCCAAGGTGATGTGAATGAAGTTATAAAGTACACTGTTCCCTTTGAAGATTACCCGTGTCCCCGGTTTTCCATATCAAACTGAGAAGGGGGAGACTGCAGCCTTGATCAAACTTGCGAAGTCTGAACTTACAAGAAGAGGATGCGAGACTGAACTGTGTGTGGGCTACTTAATATTGAGGAAAAGCCCCAATCAGATAGGCGAACGTTTGCAGCCCCGCCTCCGTTTTCAGATGTCTCCGTCTTTCCCCATCCACACTGAGACGGAGCTGCACCGTTTTAGAATGAAAACGGCCTCTCCAGCGTTTTCAAAAAGCTCCGTTTTCGGCGCTCGAGAACTCCGGCGTAGTGTGGACGGATGGCGTAACCGTAGCAAAACTTATGCGTTTTCAAACTAAAACGCACTAGTGTAAACGGGGCCTAAGGAGGGACCACTGAATGTATTTTTTCACCACTGGAGGCTGGTTATATTCACAGATTGTTGCCACAACTGTGTTAAAATCCCTTATAAAAGTGATTTAGCATAATATGCCCCCTTTAATGAACATGTTTATTTTAATTATTATTAAATATATATATATATATATATATATATATATATATATATATATATATATGAAAAATTTTAGATTAGGCCTTTTTTAAATAATATACACACACAATTTGGTTCTTCAGCAGTTCTTTAGTTGATGTACTATTTCAAGGGTGTATAATTGGCTTGGACGGATGTCCATACAAATAATTTAATCAACCTAATAAAATAATGCTCCATCAGCCCTTAGTAACCTACATGTGCACAAAGTCAAGTTCGCTACGAGTTCACTGTAATATTAATCAAGGCAGTGCAATTTATTCAGTAAATTTGAGTAAATCAAAGTTTTGATTTTGACTTCCATACGAAAAACAAATTGGAATGAAACCGTTACATTGCATCTTACACTTCTCTAAATTTCTCTACATTCACACCTCCTCTAAGCCCGATTGCAGTAAAATCATTTAAATTTACTTTTGCAGCATGTACCGTGATTGTTATATGTATTAAGTGTTTATTTTATATTATTAAGTACTTTATTCATGTTTTTAAAAGTCCAAAAAAGAAAAAAAGCAAAATGAATGCGCTCTAGAGATGTATGTTCCCACCAGTGTCAAGAGTGAATCTACGCCCTTCTACTATTTATTTATAAGTGGTTCTTTTGATCGTTAATTATAGGAAGACCAATTTCAATGCTATTCTAACACAAGTAATGGTTCTTAAGTTGTTCTTTGGTGCAGATAAGGTGCGACATATCACCATCACCAAAGATATAGGTGCTATGTATCCCTAGGCCTGTAACCAGGAGGGGGGTTCAAGTGGTTCGAAAGACCAACCCCTTATTGACAAAGGCCCAGAATTTGTCCCAAACATGAGCTCATTTGTCCTATTTTGGCTTTTCATAAATAACCCATCAAAAAAGGCTTTAAGATGAAGTGGAATCCCGCGTTGGCTGTCGCTTTAGTGTTCGACCTCAGCTAATCAGTTTTGGCCAATGCAGACAATTATTTTCATGAGTCCAACATCTAGCTGTGCAAGAAAACATAGCCTACAATCTGACGCAAGTGAAGTCATCTTTCGCAACTGTATTGTTTTAAAATAGAAAAAAAAAGTATTTTTACAAGTACATTTTATTTAAAATCTTGGATCTCATTCTTGAAACAAAAAAGATCAATAAAAATTTTAAATAAAAGCGACCAATATAAAAATTATTTTGGCTATTATTGTTATCCCTGAATTTTTAAATTAACCTTTTTTGTTTATGATGACCATAGAATCTATTTCAGCTTACATAGTGCTTAAAATGTCACTATTTAAATCACATAATTAAATAGCCTAAATGAGGTAAAAAAAAAAAAAAAAAGTCCACTTCTTTCATGAGGCTGGCTACAGGTCTGCCTTAATATTAGTTCCCTTATAAATACGAGCCAACAGATCCATTTTTTTGTGCTATATTTTATTTACCACCATTTTTAGAGTATAAAATCCTCTTTTCTTCCAGAGTTGAGCTTGATCTAAATTTAGTGACTAAGGTAAAGTTGGTTCTATCGCACATTCAGACTTTCTCTTTAATAATATACTTTCAGAAATTGATTATTTGAGAATTCGAAATAGGATAATCATATTAGTAGCCAATATCTATCAAAGTGGCATTGTTCACAGTCAAGTAAATAGTGCTAATGTTGTTTTGAAGTCTTTCGTGCAATTTCAAAGTATTTAAAGTAGCGTAGTAACCAAAATAGAGAAGCGAAAGTGAATAAATCTGCGAATATAAAACAACTTTACCTCAATAATTTAGCGCTAAAATGACCATAAACGCGAGGAAAATAAAAGAATAATATAATTAACATTTATAGCCTTTTTATATAACCCAATTTGGGCCCCTGAAATTAATGTCGTCGTTTTCAAGAATGATTAATATGCAGAAAACATTTCTGATTGGCTAAGTTTTCTGACAGGACGAAACAGCGCGGGCCGCTCACTGAACACACAATTTTCCGTTAACGGCCGTTACACACAGACATGGGTTAACGTTAATTCTCAAAACAAACTATTAGACAACCTGACAGGCTATATGACTAGGGAACAATTAATGTGGGGTATTTAAAAGAAAGTCAGCTATCATTTTGTGTAGCTCACCACGCTTCAACAATTGTCCGTGTGCTTTACCTGTTGACTCGGTAGGTCGATCATCCTTCTCTGTTCTCCTCCTCCGAACCGCGCTTTCTTCTCCAGTTGCCACCGTCGTTTCTTTGCCGTTAATCTCGTCCGTCTTCCCGCGCTGACCTCTAAAGGATCTGTAAATGAAGAAAGCGGCGCACACCGACAGCATGGCAATGATCCCAACGGCGACCACCGAGCCGAATCCGCCGACCGCGTCCAGCAGCGACTGAATATCGCGGCCGTCCAGAGCGATCGGTTGGCTTTTCTTCATGTCGGTGCTGCGGGTGAACGGATTCAGCAGAGAGAAGTATCAGTAACGGGTGATCACTTCATTCTCAGCGCCGCGGGACAAATGACCCTCTGATGCGGCAGGAGATGAAAAGAAACCCTGCAATCAGGTGTGCACGCCGCCGATAGGCTCTCCCTCTCTCTCTCTCTCTCTCTCTCTCTCTCTCTCTTTCTCTCCCCCCCCCCCTTTCACTTTATTGGCATGACATCCATGGGTAGGGTATATGAGCAAAGCATAGCAGAAAAACAACTAGCATAAATAATAACAATAATAATCATACCAATAAATATTAAATAATAACTATATATATATATATATATATATATATGTGTGTGTGTTTGTATGTGTATGTATGTGTATGTATATATATATATATATATATATATATATATATATATATATATATATATATATATATATATATATATATATAGTTGTTTTTTATTATGTATTGTTATAATTATTATTGTTATTATTTATGTTAGTTGTTTTTTCTGCTATGCATAATTGCAGCATAATTGTTTAGTTCATTCCACTTTAATATATAAAAAACAATTAAGTTAACTTAACCAATTTGTGTTGGGACAACATGAAAGAATTTTGTGCCACCCAGCATTTTTACAGTGCATTTTGCTGAAAATTCACTTTGTACTTTGTTTTTACAGTTTGCTGGATTATTTTTATTTTAACTTTTTACATTTTTCAGTATATTCTTAAGTTTTTGTTCATTTATTTATACATTGCACTTAAAAATTACACTTGTTTTATACAAGGAATGCTTTTAATAACAATCGAATTACTGACAATTTCAGCAATGTTGCTGCAAAAAGTAAGGCTCATTCAGAGACACATAAACACTCCCGTTCTGTGATTGTATCACGCTCAGTGCTGATGATATTGTGTGTCTTTGCTCAGAACAAGACGGAGTCAAAGTTTAGTTATTGATTAGATGTGAAACTCACTCTAGATCTGAATAGAGCAGCATAAAAATATCTGATAACCTCCCAGTTGATTACACTGTATTTTGGGGGATTTGATTAAATCCTAAAAGAAACAGTTGTGATATGTTAAAGGGCCTGAGGTGATTAGTTTAGTAAAAGATGTGTTCCTATTATTGTCATGCCATAGATTTGTAAAACGGACACTTTAGGGAATCAGTGACTGTATTTGTAGATATCTAGTTTTGCTGATTTGTATGAATGAATCTCATCAATTAACATTGTTAGATACATTTTATATTTTAGGCACAAACTCCTCTCTGCACAATGATAAAATAATGTTTTAAAAATAATCAAACATATCAACCAAAAATTGCTAAATCCAGTAATATTTTCATTGAGGTACAGATATCAAAGGCGTTAGTTTGGTATGAAGTATCTGCTGCCACCTGCTGATAAATGAAGCATGAATCTGAATTTTTTTGCATGATTACAAACTTGATTTCTCAGAACATGGGGTCTCTAAATCAACAGATTTAGTGAATAGAAATGCTTATTTTGTATGAAAAAGATAAATTTTGTGTACTATATATTTACAATAATTGAACTGCTATCAACCAATAAAAATGTATATTCATAATTTAATTTTTAGTAGTGTGACAGTAAAACTTTTGCATTTCAAACCTAATATTCATTCATTCATTCATTCATTCATTCATTCATTCATTCATTCATTCATTCATTCATTCATTTTCCTTCGGCTTAGTCCCTTATTTACTGGAATACACCTATACAGTCTTACATTCATACACACTCATACTGACCGGAACTAACAATGAATGGCTTTATTTTCATAAGCTTGCATTAACAAACTGTAAAAAATGTATACGTAAACTGTAAATGTATTACGTAATAAAATACATTTATTTATTAATTATTACTGTAATAAATGTATTTAACTAACAAAATCACACACACACACACACACACACACACACACATATATATATATATATATATATATATATATATATATATATATATATATATATATATATATATATATATAATTTTAGTCTGGCATAAAGAAGTTTATTTAATTTTTTTTATTGAATTACTTAAACGATGAAGACTATGCAGTGCTATTTTATATTTGATTATTCAATTTATGTACCTGAATACTGTTAGACTCTACTTCAGAAAACTATACAACATGGTTTATTTTACATATTTTATTTTATTTATTTATTTAGTTTATTTTAATATTTGCTCCTCTGTGTTTATTTATGACCCTAGTTATCTTATTGTATGTATATAATGAACTACATAAAAAAAAGATATTTATATTTCCCTCCCCTACAAAATCCTCCCAATTAATCTAAAGTAATGACTTTGCAAACAGAGATATTTAAGTTTATAAATTGTATTTAAGTACATAAATTGTATTTATATCGCAATATATATTGCAGAATAAAAATATTGCAAGGTAAAATTTTTATAATTTCGTGCATCCCTATTCAAGCATTTTTTTATATTACAATTAGGGTTATTATTCTGTATTAATCAACATTAGCATGGCAATGTGCACATTCACAAAAATCACACCACAGGAAGTGCAATATTACAGTACATCTTGATTCTCTATCTGACAATTTTGTTCTAAGGCAGCAATATATTTAAAAATAAACCCTCAAAAAGCTCAAAGCGGGGCATAATAAGCTGACTTTTTGTCACTCCTCTTTGTGGGAGTATGGTTTTTATTGGTGTTTGCATGTTGATTGCAAATATCAACACTTTTCTTATACAGTAAGCCTGTTGTACTGCATTTGGGAAATGTTCTGTGGCGATTCTCAGATTTTAACAACTGCAGGGCACATGATGGGCCACAGTTTATACACATACGGGCCAGTCTTACATTGTGTGTTTGCAAAATTTTTCCATTGTGTGTTTGTAAAATTCTTTAACAGCAAATTTATTCAATTATTTGTATTTATTTTATTCAATTACCGTACCTGAATACTGTTAGACTAGAAAGACGATAAAACACTGTTTAATTCAATTGTATCTTTTATTAATTGTATTTAACTATACTTCTAGATTGTTTATTAGATTATATGGAGAAGCAGTCCCCTACAGAATCATCCCAATCCGTCTAGAATGATCAATTCTTTCCAAATAGAGCTATTGTGTCTTCTTGTGAATTTGTTTTTATATCAAAATATACATTGCAGAATAACAAAATATTGCAATGTTAGATTCTTCCAAGACCGTGCAACCCTAGTTTTCCTAAACAAAGCTGAACCTTTATCATTTAGGAAAAGTACACAAGGATGTTTCAGTGATTAACAGCACATAAATAAATATGATAACACTAAAGGCCCTGGTATACAGTACATAGTATATTTATCAAACGTTTCATAAATCAGAGCCTAATTGATCAGATCATTTTAAACTCATCACACCAGATCTAACATAGTAGAGAAAACAGAAGCCATATATTGTGTAGAGCAGGTCAGACTGATGAATCTGAATCTGTATTCAAAGCATCAGGATAAAGGCGAGCAGAAAACAGCAGAGCAATGGCAAACTCTGAGTGATGCTTTTAGCACTGTTGCACAGGTTTCCTGAACAGCATGTGTAGTTAGTACCAACATAAGCGGATGCTGTGCCAGTGCAAAAAGAATTGGAGACACAACCTTTGTAAATCAGTGACTGGTTTCCGATAGTTCCTAAAGAAAAGATAGAAAACAAGTGAACGAAGGTTCATGAAACAAAAAGCCCTGTGTACACTGTGCAAATAAATCTTGCTGCCTTCATTTTTTTTTGTTGTTAAATCAAATTGACTTTTTTAACTTGCATCAAACAAATGGACTAAAAATATAAAATTAAACTTTGCATAACTTAAAAAAGTCTGATAACTTATTAAAATAAGTTAAAGTAACAAAAACATTTGAAGTTATGACTTGTCAAATCTTTTTTATTTTTTACTGTGAAAGCAAGGAATTGCTGTATGTAATACCTGTAAAATGTTCTTAAAGGGACAGTTCACCTAAAAATAAAAATTAACTCACTATTTACTCGCCCTCAAGTGGTTCCAAATATTTTTGAGTCTCTTTATTCTGCTAAACACGAAAGAAGATAGTGTGAAAAAGCTGAAACCTGCAACCACTGATTTCCATAGTAAGACAAAGAAACACTATGAAAGTCAATGGTTACAGGTTTTCAGCTTTCTTTAAAATAGCCTCTTTTTTGTTCAACAGAAGAAAGTAAGTCATGGCTGAAATTATGACATAAATGATGACAGAATTTTCAGTTTTGGGTCAACTATCTCTTTAAACATGTTGCACCTTCATTCATTTTCCTTCAGCGTAGTCCCTAATTTATCGTGGGTCGCCACAGCGGAGTAAACCACCAACTATTCTGGCATATGTTTTAAACAGTGGATGTCCTTCCAGCTGCAATCCAGTACTGAGAAACACCAATACACTCTCACATTAGCCCCTTACACACACAGACCTTCCCGGAAAATTACCGGCAATTTTCCGGAAAGGTTGCATGTGTGAACAGGCCCTTTTTAAAAATACCGGTAAATTCGTTCTGACAATTTTCCGGAAAGAGAAGTTGTAACATTACCGGTAATTTGCCGGAATGCTGCGCTGTGTGAACGCAGAAGGAAGATTGCTGGAAAGAGCGCGTGCACGTCTAGAACGTGCTGACGTGAGACGTCTACTTCAGCCAATCAAAACATTCAGACGCTTTAGCGTCCGCGCGTTTTATGAGAATAAAAGCCTTTGAATATTTTTCCAGACACCTTTAGCTGCTAGAAGTTAGTCAGATAACATTTATATGTTTTTTCTTTTTCAACGGTGTTAATAATTGTCGATAATATGCTTATGATAAGCCGCTGTTTGTTTACCTTCAAGCTCTGCGTCGCGTGTGCCCATGAAGCAGCTGGTGAGCCAGCACACACACATAAACATCTCGACATGCAAAAGTGTGTCTCTATATGTTTTCATCGAAGTTGTTCACAACACTGATCCATCCAGAGTTTGTAATGTTGTCAAATGTTTACAAATACAAGCACATCTGTTTAGAGATCATTTCTGGTTAATGATGTCAGAATTTACCGGTATTTTGGAATGGATGTGTGAATGCTCTTTTCCGGAAAAATTCCGTAACGTCCTCGCCTGTGTGAAC